TCTGTATGTTTGTCATTGAGTGTGTGTGACTGTCAGTGTTTATACACCCCTGACTGTAGCGTGGCCAAGCGGAGTGTACCGTGGTACAGGAACTTCTGTTTCCTGTACCTGGCAGAACTTACAGGAAAAGCTCACTGTACCGGGATTCGCTCCGCTCAGCCACACTACAAAGAAAGGTAGGAGGCACACCAGGAAGGGGAGGGGACCACTATGGGGGTGGGTGGCGCACCAAGGGACAGGGAGAGGAGGGGAGAGATATCCTAAGGTACAGGAAAAGGAGGGAGGGGGGAGAGGAACACTAAGCGACAGCCAACAGATGGGGGAGGGGAGAGGAACACTAAGGGACAGGGAAAGGAGGCGGGAAGGGAAAGGAACAGTAAGGGTCAGAGAAGGGAGGGGACCATTAAGGGACGGGGAGAGGGGCCGGATGAGAAAGAAACACACAGCGGGGCTTGAGAAGGAAAGAGACACACACAAAGGAGCTGGGAAGAATAAAAGACACAAATGGGCTGGGAGAAAAGGAGTCACACAAAGGGGCTGGGAGGAGTAAGACACAAAATGTGGGAGGATGTAAGAGTCATACAAAGAGGAGAGATAGGAGACACACAAAGGAAAAAATAGGAGATAAAATACACTAAAGGGAGTCATATATTTAAAAGACGGGATAAGAAACACAAAAGGGAGGTTAAGAGGCACATGGGTGAAGATGTTTTTGGGGGGGCGGAAAAATGCATCTTCGCCTATGTACCCAAAATTCTTTGCACCGGCCCTGGTGATAGCCCAAGGGAAGAGGTAGTAGAAATTAGTTTGGGGGCTACTGAGTTTAAGAGTGAGTTAATGGGAATGCTGAAATCCAATTTTCCAGAAATGCTACCTCTGCTTATGGCTTTTCCCGCACGATATGGTATCTGTGATTCCTGGGAGTAGCTTTTTTAAAATGCTGTATGGGGCCCAGGCTGGAAGATAAAAATCTAGGGTTAGATAGGACAGATATTGTGGGTGGGTAAGTAAGCATTGAGGTGCTAAAAACAAATCAAGGAAAAAGCAGATGAGAAAGATTTGAGATTTAAAGATATGAGTAAATGGTAGAGATCAAATAGGCGAAAGTCATAAATAGTGAATCTCATAAATTAACAAAGCTTTGAGTGCACAGACTAACATAAAAACAACATTTAACAAAGTAAGAGTTGGGGATAAAGGGTGCAATATTCATCAATTATGCAGTAATATTGTAGGGAATGGAGGTAGATAGGAATACATTTGACAAGAGAAATGGGGGGTGGAGGGATAGTTAATTTATTCTTCCTGGGAGTAGCTCTATAAATGCTGTATGGAGCCCAGACTCTGCGTATTGCTGTTCCTGCAGTATTTTGTAACTTTGATTCCTGGGAGTAGCTCTATAAATGCTGTATGGAGCCCAGACTCTGCTTATTGCTGTTCCTGCAGTATTTTGTAACTGTGAATCATGGGAGTAGCTTTATAAATGCTGTATGGAGCCCAGACTCTGCTTATTGCTGTTCCTGCAGTATTTGGTAACTGTGAATCGTGGGAGTAGCTTTATAAATGCTGTATGGAGCCCAGGCTCTGCTTATTGCTGTTCCTGCAGTATTTTGTAACTGTGAATCATGGGAGAAGCTTTATAAATGCTGTATGGAGCCCAGACTCTGCTTATTGCTGTTCCTGCAGTATTTGGTAACTGTGAATCGTGGGAGTAGCTTTATAAATGCTGTATGGAGCCCAGACTCTGCTTATTGCTGTTCCTGCAGTATTTGGTAACTGTGAATCGTAGGAGTAGCTTTATAAATACTATATGGAGCCCAGGCTCTGCTTATTGCTGTTCCTGCAGTATTTGGTAACTGTGAATCGTAGGAGTAGCTTTATAAATACTGGATGGAGCCCATTGCTGTTCCTGCAGTATTTGGTAACTTTGAATCGTGGGAGTAGCTTTATAAATACTGTATGGAGCCCAGAATCTGCTTATTGCTGTTCCTGCAGGGTTTGGTATCTGATTCATGGGAGCAGCTTTATAAATGCTCTATGGGACCCAGGCTTTACTTATGGCTTTTCATGCAGGATTTGGTATCTGATTCCTGGGAGTAGCTCTATACATGCTGTATGGAACCCAGGCTCTGCTTATGGCTATCCTGCAGGGTGTGGTAACTGTGAGTCCTGGGAGTAGATTTATAAATGCTGTATAGGGCCCATGCTCTTGTTATGGCTATCCTGCAGGATTTGATATCTGTGATTTCAGGGATACTTAGTTTGTAAATCCCCTTGGGAATTGGGCATTTAACATATTGTCTCATAGTCGTATTCTACCTTTGTCTATTTACTCGTACCAGTTGTACTGTTTTGGATCAGATCAAATGTCTGCCTGAATATCTGCCCCGTCCATATTTTTAAAGTGAGATGGGTGCACGCTGAAGAAATCACACTGACAAGTTCAGATAAATGAAAACTTCGAACTGTTTATTGGGGGCGGACACAGCCCCTTAAAAAGGCAAAAGAATGCAACGTGTGCAAATATTAAGTATAAACTTTTAATTGGCTAAGTGTAAGTGTTTTA